CCACCTTATTTTTTTTATTTAAAATTATAAGTATGTCTCAAAAAAAAACCCAAAAACTAAGTGTGAAGGTTTTACATGTGTGTACCATGTGTGTACATGTGTGTACATGTGTGTACTGTGTGTGTCCCTGGTACCAGCAGATTTCAGAAAAGATCATTCAGTTACATACTGTTGGGATCCACTGTGTAGGTGCTGGGAGCCAAACTCCATCCTCAACAAGAGCAACAAGTGCTCCTAACCACTGAACTATCCTTCCAGCTCCTCTGTCTGCATTTTGAGACAGGGTCTCTCTACAGCCCCGGCCGACCTAGCACTTACTCTGTAGACCAGGCTGGCCTTGAACTCAGAGACCCGCTGCCTCTGCCTCCTCCGTGTTGCCCAGCAGCTGCTTTATTTTTTAAAGCAAGATCATTCTCAGATCTCCAGTTTGGCTAAGCCCCAGGAACCCCCATCTCTGCCTCTTGAGGGTGGGGTTACAGGGGTGTGGTGCTATAGCTTGTCTGTCCTTCCCATCGGTGCCCAGATCTAAAGTCAGATGCTGAAGCTTCTGTAGCAAGCCACTTCACTAACTGAGCCATCCCGCCTCCCCCCTCCCCCAACCCCACCAGCCCAGCCTGCCTCCTGCCCCCCTCCCCCAAATAGCAGGGAGTGCTGGACTCTTGCCTCCCCCAGGAGGGAAGATTGGGCTTCTCCCCCCAATAGCAGGGAAGACTGGTCTCCCCCTCCTCAGGAAGGAAGACTGGGCTCTTCCTCTCCAGGCCCTCCCATTGTCCACTCTGGTCAGCTATAAACCAGACCCAGCATCCCCCCCCAACCCCAGTCACCCACTCCTGCCCTTTCTTGCCCTATCTTCTGCCTCCCTTTACATACAGGCCCTGAGCAGGGCTTCTCCAAGCTCTCCAAGGCTAAGCCACCTTCTCCCCTGATCCTGGTCACTTCTTCGGCACCTCAGTCTCAGCCCAGTGCAGAACCCACCTAGTCCTTCCGTAAGGGCCGTCGTTATTAACTAAACAAACAAGTAGGGTTCGCTGTGATACCCCAGTGCGTGCAGTGGCAGACCTGATTCACGCCCACGCTTCCCGGTCCCAGCCATCGCTCTTGTACTTTCTAGTCGACCTTTCAGGTTTCCATGCTGTCTATTCGTAGTGCTGGGACTTGAACCCAGATCACTGGTCTTATCATTCCTGGGCTATACCTCCTCCTCTATCCCGGAGGACTCAGTTTTCACCTACCAGTAAGCATACAGTGCTCGTTAGGCTGTTAGTATCTTTTGATTGAGAGGAAAAAAGAGAGATAACAAAAACCTCTAGGAACCCCATAAATGCCTTTGAATGACTGTGTGCGCCTGTCATGACAGTGCACATGCATGCCTGCGGAAATGGCCGGGCTCCCCTCCTTTCAGAACAGGGAGAGTCCCCCAACCCGACAGAGCCAGGCTGGCTGCCACTCAGGCCTCATAAAGCTGCAGGAAAGGGCTTGTCCTGATGTGGCCAGCTCATGGCCTTACTCACTACCGGCCCCACAGCCGCACCCCAGAGGCCCGAGTTAGCCCTAGACTGCTGGAGTGAAGCCCGGTGATACTTCCTTGAGGACATGACCCGGCCACAGGGAAGGAGGGAGCAGCGATGGGGCCTCCTGTCCACTTCCTGGGACAAGGGGCAGCTCACTGCTGAGCCCCTTCCTGCTGAGGGCGTTTCCACAACTCCTGGGTGCTTGAGGAAGAGGTGTAGGCTAGAAAAATCTTAAGCTGCTAAGAGCCTCCTGTAAATGTGTCAGAATGGGGGTGTCCCCTCAGGCAGGCCTTTCTAGAACCCCAGGTGACTTAGTCATCTGGACAGTCACCCGTGCACTGACCCCCACAAGGAGGAGGAGTCTTATGTGTTGCACACGCACTGTCCCCCGAATCTCTTGACAAGGCCAAGGCAGTGGACAGTAAAACAAACCCCTTTCTTTCTATTACCAGCTCATCCTCAGCCTCCGTGAGCTGGAGTTGGGGGAGGGGAGACTGTGCCTCCTGACAGATCTGAGGCTCCTGACTCACAGGAAGGCCCAGGCAGCTAGGGCCATCAATCTGAGGACTTGTAGGAGAAGGACTCGAGAATGGAAGCCACCACCACTTCCACCTCAGACCCACAGGGTTGCAGGCCACACACAAAGGGAACAAAAGGAAAAACCTTCAGAATCATCGGAAGCCCAAGGTCGGTACAGAAAGTGAAGGTCTCACCTCTGAGCCCATTCTGGGTCTGATCCATTCTCCCCAACTGCCTCAGAACTACAGGCTGCGCATCCCAGGAACAGAAAGACCCTCAAAGGCAACCTGACCTAAAACCTAAGGCCTGTGAGAGCAAGTACCTCAGTTTACCCAGCCATCAAGCCCAGTGTTCTTAAGGAAAGGCACTGGGTCCCTCAACCCCAGATTCAGGGATGGAACTCTGCTCCAAAGTGCAGGGACCACTCTTTTGTGATGAGCTCCCGGAGTCGCTGAAGCCAGGCCTGAGCGTCTGACCTCTGAGAGGACAGGAAAGGAGGACCAGGCTCTAGTTATCAGCAGAGAGGAAAACATCACTTCTGACAAGGACACACTCCTCAAACGGTGCTGGCAGCCTGGCCAGGAAGCTCTCCACAGCCCCTGCCTGTTCCTTTGTGACAGATTCTACAGAGGTAGACTAGTGGTCCTCTTCTCTTTCCAAGCACCCTGCCAGGACAGATATAATCACTCAGTGAGGTGCAGGGACCATCTAAGGATTGGGGGACAGTAAAGCTTGTCCCAGAGCCACCTGTCTCTTACATGTCGGTGACGCTGACCGAGTCCTAGTCTCTCTTTGAGACTGTTTCCTGACATTTAAGGTAGATAACGGACATCTGACGATAACAACCCTGGCTTCCCAGCAAGCTGGGAGCTGCAGAGTGCACTCTAGCCTAGCAAGCCTTGGTTCAAATCCCTGTCCTTCTCATACCAGCTGGCACACACAGAAAACCCTCTTGACCTCTCTGTTCCCTCGTCAGGAAAGTGGGCTGACAGCTTCAGTGACCCCATAAAGTCCTCGTAAGGCTTAAACTGTCTATCCAAAGCATCCCGAATGTTATGTGACATACACCCAAGGCCGCATGTGTGGCAGTATGAGGGACTGCATGGAACAAGGCAGTGCATGTTGGCAGGCTCCGACTGGCATCTGAGAGCCATGCCTGGTAAGTGTGGGGCTGTCCTCAGAGAGATCAGTGCGACACAGAAGCTGAGGCTCCTTCCAGGAGTGGCTATAAATGAACTTTACAGACCAGCCATTCCTCTAGTTACCACAAGTGCCACTGCGTGGGGACAGGGTGAATCTCCATGGGCTAGCTTGTAAGTTTCTCAAGGATTCTGAAAGTCACCCTGTCCTCTGACCCATCCACCCCCAACCAGACCCCACACCTCTCACATACACACCACTGGCCTCTCTCTACCTCAGGACAGAGGTTCATAAAGGGCCCTCTGTGTCTCCTGGCCCAGACTCTTGCTTCAGGCTTTCGCCCTTCTCTCCCCCAATACCTCAGCAGCCACCCTAATATCCTAAGCGAATGCACAGATGGCAGACAGGGCCTATAGCCCTCCCTCTCCAACAGGTACACTCTGTGGCCTGAAGGACACAGGCTGGTTAGGGGACCCTGTGTGAGGACGGGGATAGGCCAGACCTGGACTTTTCATTCCACGGCCTGTTGGCAGTCCAGGCAGCTGGTAGAGCCTCTCCAAGCTCAGGTCCCCAACAAAGTGATAGGCACTGGCATGTGTAGAGCCAGCCAGCCATGCCCAGGGCCTGGAGTGAAGGTCAGTTAGAGGGTTAATGATGCCCAGTGCTGCCCAGTCACATGGTAGCTAGGAGTCCAGCAGAGGGAGAGGTATTAATAACTTGTGGTGAGGGCCCTGCTGTGGGAATGTCCTCTCAGATGGGACAAACACCCGGCAGAAGAGCCTCCCTCACTGACTCCTTTGACACTCTCCCAAGAAAGTCAGAATGACTTTAGAAACTGGTTTCCCAGAGTTGCAGGGTTTGTTCTAGGTCAGGCAAGCCCACCTAAGGGAGCTCAGAGGAGGTGGTGGCACCGGGCTCAGGGGACTTTCTGGACCCTTGTCTTAATCCGGTGCCTAACTCTGCATCCTTGTCTATTGCTTAAAGAAACTGAGGCCCAGGCGGTTTCAGTAACCTGTCCAAGGTCACACAGCAGCCGTATATGACAGTCATAAAAAATATCACAAGTTGCTGGAGCATAGCTCTGCTCTACAGAAATAGCCCTGTCGGACAGTGGGGGCCCAGCATCTCTGCTTCCTTCTCCCTGGGTAGAGATGGATGTTTCCAGAAGGAGAAAGAGGCAGCTGAGGGAGAAGTCAGGACCAGACCCTGAGCCTGGAAACTGGCTCTTGTGTAGGTTGTTTGAGAGTTTTAAAAGTTTTAATATTTAAATCCAAAAGGCTCAGGGTGTTATTTAGGGTCTCACTCTCAAGCCGGGCAGTGGTGGCGCACGCCTTTAATCCCAGCACCTGGGAGGCAGAGGCAGAGGCAGGTGGATTTCTGAGTTCGAGGCCAGCCTGGTCTACAGAGTGAGTTACAGGACAGCCAGGGCTGCACAGAGAAACCCTGTCTTGGAAAAAAAAAAAGTCTCACTCTCACTCTCACCCTTGCATCATGGAAGCAGACCATGGCCAGTTACTCATTAAAAAAAAAAAAAAAAAAAAAATCACGTCAGAAGCAAAGCACACCTATTACCTTCTTGTTTTAGAGCCCATGGGCGACACACCAGCGCACACCCAGCCCACACCTAGCGTACACCCTTCTTTATATAACTTCTGTTTTCCTTTATCTATTTATTCTTTTCAGAGAAGTCAGCTGCCAGGAACCGCTTGTGTTGGGACAGCGGTAAAGGCCAAGAGAGAGAGAGAGAGAGAGTCAGAGACCACGGACAGCCCACCTGGTGGGGACAGCAGCTTCTTCCTCTTGCCTTCCTTGGGAAGACTCGGTGGTACCATGGTGGTGCTGCACAGCTCGGACAAGGGGAAGACCGGGGTGGGTGTGCCGCTGGAGCCCTTCCTGCACCAGGTCGGGGGCCACCTGAGCGTGCTGCAGTACGACGCCTACACAGTCTGCAAGCCCCTCGTCTCCCAGGAACAGAAATTCTATGAGTCCCTGCCACTGGCCATGAGGTGCTTCACTCCGCAGTACAAAGGTGAGTGGGGACGGGGGCGGGGCAAGCTCATCGGAGCTCACAGCAGCTGTCGCTGGGCACTGGGTGTAAGGGCTGTGCGGAGACTGACTCTGAAACTCTCCAAGCCTCCATGTCATGAGCATTAATGGCTTTGGAGACAGGTCAAGCTACTCAGTTTCAAAGAATTGACGAAGGCGTCAAGGGGCGCCCAGTCCTCCTGGTCCCGATGGGGTGGACGTTCTACTGTGTGCTTTGAGAGCATCATAGGTGTGGCTGTGGTTGAACATACAGACAGGGGAGGCTTCCTGGGCCTCCCTCTGGAGACCCAGGACACACAGGACATGGGGAATCTGGGACAGGACTTGGTTAGGAGTCCAGAATACCCACTCCATACAGACAGGGCAAAGACCATGCTGCCTTTCAGTGTGTGCAGCTGAGAAAACTGTAAGGTGGGCGGGGTGTGTTCTAGAGCCCAGGACAAGGTGGTTGTGGGAAGAGAGCTCAGAAGAAGGGCTGAGCCTCTTGGCTTTTTTACCTGATACCCCTGCCCAGATCCAAGGGTAGGTATCTGGGGCTGGTCAATGAGGCCCTACAGAGTTGACTGCCAGGTGCCAGCCCAGAGCTGAGTGGGCTCCCAGAAGACAGGCCTTCTGTACAGAACCTCAGTTTTCCATGACTGAGGGCCACTGCCTTCTGCCAAAGGATCTGCAGGGACAGCAGTCATGACACCCAAGTAAGCTCATCAGAAACCCACCGTGGGGAGCTAGGGATGTGCCTTGGTCCTCAGGAGAATACCTGCCCAGCATGCAGGAAGCCCTGGCTCCTATCCCCAGCAACGCTCAAGCTGTAACACGGTGGTTCATGCCTCTAATACTCTTTCTCAGGAGTAGAGGCAGGAGGACCAGAAGTTCAAGGTCACCCTTGGCTATGTAGGAGACTCAAGGGTAAGAAAATAAAGAAACCAGTTATGTTCAGTCACCGGGACAGCTGGGAAGGCCGGATGCGTCAGAGCTGGTGTTTCTGAGTGTGAGTTTCCTCAGAGCTCCGGACTCCATTCCGGACCTGTCAGTCAGAACCCAGGATCCTGAGACAGACTCGGGCTTCACATTGATCATGGACATGAATGACGGCTGCTAGGCACGGCCACACCCTGGGCCTGGATGTAACTGCTGGGCCTCTGTGATGTCCTGGGAGGCAGGAGAGTTGGCCACCCGTGGGGGCCCCACTCTGACATGCCCTAGCCTTCCCCTACAGTCTTCCGAGGCCACAGGCCAGTGCTGCCTGTCTGGTCATTGTTTATCTTGTCAGAGCACCCACTGGAATTAATGTCTGTCCTTCTGTAACTAAACTCAACATAGCAAAGGCTGTCAGGTCCTTGCGTGAGGCGGGCTCTTGCCGGCAGCATTTCACGCTTGCTCGGCACAGCTCGAGAGCTGAAAAAGACTGAGGGGGTCTGCCCCAGGCGAAGGGGAGAGACTGTTTGGGTCTTTAGGAGACCCACCCCCCCACCTCACGCAGACTCTGTCCTGTCTGCACTGGCCTATGGTCTGCTGGGGATGACAGGGCACCCTCGGGCACTGGACACCTATCCAGACAGATCTCTGCTTCCTGGGCATGCCTCTTTGGGCTCTGCTAACTCCAGTTACAGATGCTCTCTTCTTAGAAAAGGTTCACAGCCACAAATAATCATTGTAAGTTAAAAATATCATAAATTTAAAAATGTATTTAATAGACAGAGTCTACCTTCATACCCTAGCTTAGCACGTGGTACACCATGGAATCAATTGGGGGTGACAGCCTCTTCCTGGTGTCCTGGGAGGCCTGTGTCATGTATCACTAGCCCAGGAAAAGATCAAAACTGAGGAGTCAAAGGATGTTTTCTCCTGGCTACATTTCACTCCCACCATCACGAAGCAGCAAAGTTGTAGGTCAGCCTCTCCTGCACTGAGGGATGACGCCTGCACCTTGAGCCGAGGGTTGTAGCTAAATGGACGATCTGTGCCACAGGGTCTAGGTCAGCCTTGCCTTTGGGATGTCTTACAAATGGCATTTCTAAACACAGTGGGGAGCAGCTGGAGCCAGGAACCTCCTGACTCCCGAGGATAATGGATGACTACCAGCCGGCCTGGGAGGACTTGGTGTCACCCTAAAGACAGGCTTTGATGAAGCAGAGCTGGAGCACGATCCAGGCAGTGTGGGGAGACCCTAGAGAAGTCCCAGAACTCAGCAGGGCACATCCACTCATTCTTAGGTACTCGAAGTAGAACTGGGGACCAGTAATGGAGATGGCTGATTTTAGAAGTTGTAGTGGCCAGTTCCTGAACTTGCTCTGCGGCCATTTCAAGAGGCTTCCACACCCTGGTTTCCACATGCCCCGTAACTCCTCTCCGAAGCCAGTACCTTCATAACCCCAGAGACACAGAGGGGGAAGCCAGCTTGCCTGAGGCCGTGCGTCCGAGAGAGGCGGACCCAGGATCTAAATACCTGATGTCTAGCTCAGCGGGTTCTTGGCCCCATTCACCCACTGCACTGAAATATCTGGAGTGTCCATTTCAGAGTCCATCTAGTCCCAGGAGGGAGGAGACGGACTCTCTCAGAAGCACTCAGGCAAAACATCATCTCAGCAGGGCAGATAACCTTCTATGCTTCTGCATAGAAATAGCTTCCTCAGAGAGGCGGGGCTGTTTCTGAAGTGGTTACTACGTGCCACAGAACCCATCCTGATGCCTTCCCCGACAATGACACCAGGGAGAATTTGGTCTAGGAAGGCGTTCTCAAAGGGAGCACTGTGGGCCTGCAGCTTGCTCTAGACCTTGGCTGGATTCCTAGTATGGCCATCTTGAGGCCGAGTGCCTTGCCTCTCAGTCAGCCCTGGGTGAATGAGGACAGGCGCTCGGGCTCAGTCGGTGGAGGGTTTGGCCAGATTCATATTACAGATGGCGGCGGTAAATGTTCTCATAAGCTTAAAATAAACACATGATACAATCTCTGCCAAGGCTCAGGAAGCTGTTTGGTCAAACCAAAATTGCTGAGATGCTCCGGGCATGCCAATCGTGGCAGTAAGCACTCTGTCTGCCCAGCTGCCACACTGTCAGGCTGAGATGCATGGGACAGGCTGTGGCAAGCCCCAAGGCTCCCAGTAGGGCCTCAGCTACTGATCTCGGGCCTCCAGGTCTTAGACCCATAGACACAACGGCTCCTGGCCGTATAGTGCAACCCAAGCACCAGAGAGTCTGCCTTCTCCCGGGTCAAGGGCAGGCAGCTCACTATAGTTCACAGGGGAGATCTCAACGGGCCAGCTCCAGGGAAGGGCTGTGCTGAGCCCCCGCTGGGTGAGAGAGGAGGGGGGAGGTCACAGGAGCCAGGAGACAACCAGATGATGAGCCCATCAGAGGCAGAGGGACACCCGCAGGGACACTGGGCTGGAAGCTCTGTCTGTATAAGAAATGGAAACGGCTTTTGGGTCATATTAGTTGTGGGTTATTTGCACCTCCTCTCGCCGGCCTTTACGCAGGAACGGATGAGCTCAGACAGGAATGGAGCCTGTAGCGGCGGCAGGGAAGGTCACATTTCTTGTCTCTCCAGGGAGGCCTCCTGGGCACAAGCTGCCAAGAACTGTGTTTTCTGGCAGCCATGTCACCACAGGGCCTCAAGTAGAAAAGACCAGGGGCCGCCAGATGGGAATGTGAACTTTAAAAGACCCTAAAAGACATTGCTATTGGCTAGTGGAGCTTCCTGGACCCTCTAAGCAGCCGGAAAGGGCACTAGCTCCCTCCAGGACAGGCACGGGGGTAGCTAGGGGTCCCTTTGTCATAGAGGACTCATGTTGAGAGCTGGAAGGTTCTCCTCCCTAGAACAAACACCCAAGGACTCAGGGCTAGAAATGTAAAGGCCGTGCCCCAGCCCTCTGAAATGGCGGTGTTCTCCTGAGGGCTTGACTCATGGCTTCTCTGTCCCTGTCCCCTATAATCCCCCACAGGACAGACCAGCCAGAGCCAGTGTTTCTGGGAACACAGCAGGAGTGTCCCACATGCATTCGTGGGTAAACACAGCCTGATTGTGTCAGACTTTTCCACAGAGTCCTGGGAAATGTGTTATAACATGCCTTTCCCTTACCAGCCACGTGTTAGGTGGCTTGGTGGCACTCTGGGTGTGTGACCTTGGCTCAGACGCCACCCCACCCCCAACCCCCAGCACTGCTGCACCAACAACAACCTTATGGACGTGCTGTCATTTCAAAACCACAAGCGAAAAGCAAACCATGCCAGTCCAGGGCCACATACAGTAGGAGAGATGAGGAAATGTCCCTAGCTGGCCACCCCCAGGCACAGAACGAACGAGCTTGACAGGAATGGTCCGGGATGAACGCTGGTGTCAGATAAACTCAGATACCAACAGCGTTATTTACCACTGCTGTGGCGTCTTCAGGACACATGGGGGCCTGGGAGGGGTGGAGGGGGAGCAGACTTTTCAGGAGTCTGAGAGAACTGAATGTCCCTCCCCGGCTGCAGAACTAGGCCACTAGGAATCTGAGATGACGAAACTCGCCCAGGGATCCCACTGGGCTGCGTAGAGTAGACTCTGGAGAGCCGCCCTGGGGAGTGAGGGTCCACACTGACAGCCCCCAGAGGCTGGGCAGGAAAATCAGCAGCTGCCACTCACACTGAGGAGGTAACCAAGAATCCTGGGAAGAAAACTAGTATAAAGCACATAAAACTCCCCACCCCACCTCTCTGCCTCCGTCAGCAGGAAACAAACCATGTTCAAGAGAGTGGGGTTTTTTTGTTTTGTTTTGTTTTGTTTTGTTTTTGGTAAGGACTCTTTGCAGAAATTCATGCAGGCTTGGGTGTACACTGAAAACTGTAATGGCTTCAAGCACGCAGGGCATGAGGGAGGAAGAAGAGACCCCACTGGAACGCAGCAGCCCCCAAGCCACCCACAGCGATGTGGCAGGGGCACAGACAGCTGAATAAGTACCTTCCTTCCCTTACCCTCCCACCTCTACGAGGGCCCCACTGGCCAGAGCCACCGGGAAGTAGGTAGAGCACAGGAAGGCATCAGGGCACTGCATGGAGTCAATTCCTCAGCACCAGGCAGCTGGAGAAGCTGAGAAGAGAGAGGAGAAGCTGAGAAGAGAGAGGAGAAGCTGAGAAGAGAGAGGGTAAAGCCAGGAAGGAAGGAGGACAGGACCACCAGATGTCCTGTTCTCAAAGAACACAAGACTGTCTGTGACATGGTACCAGGGCAAGGCCAGGTACCACAGAAGGAGGCCGGGCTCCTCCACTGTGACAAAGACCCCACAAGGTGACGATGCAATGCTACCTGCCCTTCATACATAGTTTTGTGTCCTACCCAAGTATCCGAGGAGAATACAAAGCATATGACTTTCCCGCTTTGATTACCAGCATAAAAGATACCGAGTGTCAGGGAAACCTCGAAGACTCTACGGCAGTGTTTCTCAATCCTCCCGATGCTGCCGCCTTTTAATACAGTTCCTCATGCTGTGGTGACACCCCAACCATAAAATTATTTAGTTGGTACTTCATAACTGTAATTTTGCTACCATCATGAGTCATAATGTAAATATCTGATACGCAGGCTTTCTGATTTGTGAGGCCCTCACCCAAAGGTCACGACCCACAGGTTGAGAACCATTCCTCTCAAATTTCCCCTAAGAACCATACATATCCGAATCCCATGTGCTAACATACACAGCCAGCGATGATGGCTGGGTACCACTGGGAAAGGCAGAAGGCGAGACTGTCTGATGTAGGGCAGAACCCGCAGCCGCCTCAGGAAGGCTTTCTAGAAGAAGCCGGCTGGATGAAGACAGATGAGAGGATAGAGACGTCTGAGGATGCAGAGAGGAATGGGAAGGGTTGGCGCCCCCTGGAGGCAGGGAGGTAGGGAGGCGTCTTCATGGAGGACCAGCTCTGAGGTATCCTGGGTTGTCTGTGGATGAATTGTTGATCACGGTGTGATCAGGAAGGTGTGAGCAACCTCGGAGGTGGGAATCTAATTCTAGAACAGTGTAGGAAGTTTGAGAGGCGAGGGGAAGAAACAATCCTAGGTCACCCCCAAGACTACTTTCTGAAAACTCCAGGGTAGGCACTGGGGACATATTCAGGAGCACAGGATCAGGTTCAGGCAGAACCATCCTAGTCTTGACTCTTCCTTGAGAGAGAAGCAAGGGAGGGAAGGAAGATGCCCAGGACCACCAAACTCAACAGTTATGACCCATGACCCAGTGTGCTCTCCCCTCCCTCCTATGTCCTGCAGGTACCATCACGGTGCGTCTCCGGAGGGACAGCAGAGGCCATCTTGGCCTGGTTGCCAACCCACTGAAGGAGAACCTGGAACCTTTCCAGGTCTCCCCAGAGTCCAGAGCGGTAGCTCTTTGGCAGACGCTTCAGCAGACCACCAGCAGTGAGAGCAGCCCCCGCCCCCTTGCCCAGCTGGCTCGATCACTGAAGGAGAGGTGAGGACCACCGAGCGGGCGGGGACAGGAAGCTGGGTGATTGCCCCTCAGCACCCACTCCACTGTGCCCAAGGCCACTCCACATGAAGCTTAGCGTCTAGAAACTGAGACACTCTGATAAAGACTGTTGCAAAGAAAGAGCTGGGTCATCTCTGTTTCTCCTTGGGGGAGGACGGACTTGGAGCTAACACACAGGCAGGGCGTGTGCTCCAGAGCAGATCTCTGGGACCTGTTTGTTTAATTAAATACTTACTTCACTGAGACCGTCCAGGTCTCTGGGGGAGAGTACGCAGACAGAAACCTTGGAATGGTTTACAGAGAGGAAGTGTGCCTAATTTCTCTTGGAAGTCAGCTTTTAGCAGATCAATGGGGAAGAGTGGAGAGAGTGAGTGAGTCCCAGGAGACAAAACAGCCCCCAGGGGCTTAAGGACCTTAGAGAGATCTTGGGAGCCTCGGATCATGTCTGCTGACCTTTCCCAGAGTCCCTGGGGACAAGAGTTGATACAGTAACAATGTTGCTCTTCCCCAAGGAGCCTCAGATCTAATTAAGTTCTTGGTTCAGCAGCAGGGCTGTCTTTCACAGCTGGGGCCAAGATGCAGCGCTTACTCTAAAAGGCACTGCGAGGTTACATTACCAGGGCATGAATCCAGACCCCCAACCCTCGAGGTTCCAGGTGGGGTCAACAACCCTTCCCTTTATCACCTTGATAGCAAGGGTGAATCTAAATCACTCCAGCCCTTGGGAGTAGCACTTGGAAGAAAAGCCCTGCAGGGATCCGGACCTGGCATGAGCTGGTGTCAGGTACCCAGTTTAGGTGGGGAGGCACTCAGGGGCCTGTGGTGAGAATCCAATGCAGTGGTCTGGGTGGCTTTTGTCAGAGGCCATGGCAGAGAGCCTGAACAATGATCCACAGCCGGCTACCGAGCTGACTTCAACTGCTTCTCTTGTCCACAGTGCAGCCAAGGTGCTCCTGAGGTCCGACTGCCACCTCGGTACCCAGGCCTCTCCGCTGGTAGAGAGTGCAGACGGGAGCCAGGTGGAGGGAAAGGGCTTCAACCCATGGGGCCTGCACTGTCACCAAGCCCACCTGACCCGTCTGTGCTCCCAGTACCCAGAGGACAAGCGGCACCGTATCCTTACCACCCTCGAACCTGCACACAACCCTTAGGGCAGTGTGAGCAGAAGAGGACAGAGAGGGAGAAATCGATGGGCAGATGGCACACACAGACAAATGCATGCACACACAGGCACATACATGCAAACACACACATGCATGCACACACATGCGTGTGATCGCACATACACACAGACAGATGCATACACACACATGTGCACACACACAGACGAATGCACACACACAGGCACAGGCACATACATGCAAACACACGCATGCATGCACACACACAAACACAGACACGTGCACGCACACAGACAGATGCAAGCACAGCCACACACATACAAACACAAATGTGTGCACACACAGACAAATGCATGCACACACAGGCACGGGCACATAGATGCAAACACACACATACACGTGTACACACAAACACACACACACAGAGTCAAGGAGACAGATAGGGAGGGAGAAATAGATCTGGGGGTGATCTGAAAGTTTGAACCCATAGTCCAGGATCTTGAAGAAATCAGATACCCTTCAAAAGAAAACTCGGGGCGGGGGGTGGTGGCAGCCCACTATCGGCTAAACTGGACCCTGGCATGCATGTCTCTGGCACTTCCCACAGTATAGGAGAGACAGGGAGGAGAACCCCTTGCTAGGGTTAGGTAGAGACAGGAGGAAGTCCCTCTGTGCCCTACTCCATTTGCCACTGTCTCTTCCCTCCAGATTCTGCCTGCAGCTTTGAGCTGTGGAGAGACTCTGAGGAGAGGCAGACCTTCCCCACAGCAAAAATCCTCCCTCGTCCCACCATCCCTCCCCACCCCACCACCCTCTCCAACCACGCCCCCTCCGCTGCCAGGTAGCTTAGGCCCTTCCACCCTCTGAGTACTTCCCGAGAAAAAAAAACGGCGGCTGCCCTTACAGTATTTACTACGACACATCTGCCGCCCTAATCCCTAAGAAGCGTTTGGAGGATAATTACTCCGCTGAAATTAATATTCCTGCAACTTTTCTCCGAGGCGAGCATCAACCCCTTGTCCCAGAAGGTGCAGGCCCATTCAGTGTCTGGAGGTCCCAGCCTTGTGATTTTCTGCCATAAAATGTAAATTGGGCACAGCCTGCCAGGAATCTCATGCCTGCATTTAAATTTCAACCTCAGAGCAAAAAATGGAAAGAAAAAAAAGGTTCTCATAAACTCCCCCTAAATAAATGGACTTATTAAAGCAGACTGCCGGTGAATATCTTGCATCCTTAATAGCCGGGCTCATGGGTAAGGCGGGAAACAGGAGGGAAGATTGAGCAGAGACCGTTCCAGCGGCCTCAGTAGCCCCGACTGATGACCTCAGAGCGTTCCTTGACCTAGGGCATCCAGGGTTCTTGCTGTTGGAAAATGTGGTGTCACAGTACAAGAAGCCCAGTATCTTAGATCTGAAGATGGGGACCCGGCAGCACGGGGATGACGCGTCAGAGGAGAAGAAGGCCCGTCACATGAAGAAGTGTGCACAGAGTACTTCGGCCTGCCTGGGCGTGCGCATCTGTGGCATGCAGGTAGGTGCTGAGGGCTGGCTGCAGGGGTCAGAGACGGGCATCCCGGCAGGTCTGGATGCCTGCTACCCATACCCTCCCTCCATGCAGAGCTCGTTACCGTAAGGGAGCAACAGAGGAGGCTGAAGGATGCTTTGCAAGCAAGGAAATACAGATTCTGGTCTGAGATGCTAGGTGGTGGTGGTTGGTGGTGTTTTGTTTTGAGACAGGTTTCTGAGCATCCCAGGTTGTCTTCAGACTCCTTACGTAGCCAAAGCTGACCTTGGATTCTCAGTCTTCCGGGACCACCTCCTGAGGGTTGAGATCGCAGACGTTGAAGTGATTCTTCTTACGCTTCCTAGTGCGGGGACGGAACCCAGAGCCTTGGCAGAGGAGGCAAGCACTCTTAACCAATGAGCTGCATTGCCAGCCCACACACTGGCTTCGTACAGAGCATCCTTGAGGATAGTCTGAAACTCAGTCTCACCATTTTGAGGCAGTTAAAACTCCGTGCCGTGGTCCTGAGGGTCCTCCCCACTTCGGGAGGGACTTTTAATGGCAGTGTGGGGCAGGGGTTGGAGAAGAGCTGAGAAAATGCACCTGATGGCTTACTTATCCCACATGCATGATGGGGCTCGGCCCCGCCCCCTTCGGATGTGGGGTAGCAACCTCGCTCTCTTAGATTCCCGTTACCCATCCTCTCTGCTCCATTCAGCCTTTGTGCCTCTTTTTCTGCTGCTTGGTCAGGTTAACCAATGAGAAGGGCAGAAGCCACTGGATCCACTCACAGGGGTGGCTTGTCCCCTTCCTGCCTGGGTCCCACACCTCCCTACCTCTGTTCTTATAAGACGATGGCAGGGCTGTAGGGAAACAGGCAGGACTCCAGCCCATCCCCCCCCCCCAACAGCCTGTCTACTCAATACAAAACCAGACTCCACTTTGACGGTGAACGTTATAGCTTTCCTTAATTGAAACTGCCACCCCTCGAAGCTGAAAGTTGAGTCCATAAATTCATTGCACAGATGTCCCTGGGAAGGCTCGGAATGCAGTCCTCGAGAGAGAACAGAATTGGGATGATTTGTGGAGTGAAAGGAATCTCTCTGCGGACCTCCAGCCTCCTGCAAGTGATCTGATTTATCTAAAAAGTGCCGCTTGTCGGGTGTCTGCAGAGGCTAATTTAGCGGCCCATCTTCAGCCTTCCAAAAGCTTATCATATCTTCCTGATTAAAAACACAACAAACACATTGTGTAACACGAAGGCAAGACAGGCATCAAACAGGGTTAGCCAGTTACAGGCAGCCCTGTCTTCGGGTGCCAAGTCCCCCCTTGTCATTGCAGCTGCAGGCTTTGACTCAGTCTCTGTGGTCCCCCTGAGCTGTCTGGACTGGGTGTGGCCACCATGGTACCCTCATCAGCATCTCTCTTCTGCCTGCTCCCTTTGAATGGCATGGCAAGGGCAGAAAATAGAGGCAGTGAAGAAAAGAACCATTTGCTGGACAGGGAGGCCGAGGACCTCTCTGCTTCCCAGGCCCCTGTACTGGCTGCCTGCGGGCCCTACCTATATCTGAGCTAGCCTGATTTTCTTGACCTGGGCACAATTCACCTTGACTTGAGCCGTCCCTGAATGCTTAAAAGCCGTGAGAAAAGACTCGGTCACTTTGTCGAAGAACTTACTCGAACCGGCTCTCCAAGTCCGCCGGCCTGATCTCAGATTCCTGCTGCAGCTTTCCAGCTTGGGTTTGCTAATATCTGAACTGAAGGCGGCCAGAAGCCAAGATTTAAATCACGACTTGGAAGTTGATAGTGGAAATTCACAGGAGAGGAGATCCAAACCTCAGAGTGGTGCGCTGAGGGTCACCTCTGCGGGTGAAGGACCTCTGGGTCTCCGGTTGGGACTAGACCTGCAAAGAAAATACTTTAAAATATATCCACCACACTAGAGCATGATGAGAGAACATCTGTCCGTCTCGACCGATGTCTCCCAAATCACCTGGAAATCACTTCGTATATTATGGGGGCTTGTTATGCTGCTACTATAGAACAGGCAATCTTTGGTTTGGTTTGAGATAGGGTCTCATGTAGCACAGGCTGGCCTTGAACTCACTATGTGGCTGAGGATGACCTTGAGCTTCTGATTCTCCTGCCTCTGCCTTCCATGTGCTGGTTTTACAGGCTTGCCCCACTGTGCCCAGTTTATACAGTACTGGGGACAGCACACAGAGATTTGATCTTGCTAGACAAGCTTTCTCTCAACTGAAACTGAGCCATGTCTCCCCCCCACTCCTCCTCCTCCTCCTCTTCCTCCTCCTCTTCTTCTTCTTAAGTGTACAATCCATCCTTCATGTATATTTTCTCCCTCTCTCTCTTTTCCAACCTAAGGTTTATCAAACCGATAAGAAGAGTTTTCTCTGCAAGGATAAGTACTATGGAAGGAAGCTGTCGGTGGAGGGATTCAGGCAAGCCCTTTCTCAGTTCCTCCATGATGGGATCCGCCTCCGCACCGAGCTCCTGGAGCCCATCCTGCGTAGGCTGCAGGCGCTGCTCGCTGTCATCAGGAGCCAGAGTTCTTACCGCTTCTACTCCAGCTCCCTCCTCATCATCTATGACGGGGAGCCTCCTCAGACGGCTCCCCAGACCACCCAAGGCAGCACTTCCGGCGACCCCGTCAGAGTCGACGTCCGGATGATCGACTTCGCGCACACGACATACAAGGGCTCCTGGAACGAGCACACCACCTACGAGGGACCAGATCCTGGCTATATTTTTGGCCTTGAAAACCTCATCGGGATTCTGCAGGATATCCAAGAGGGAGCGTGAAGCTTCTTGGAACTTTCTGGGATTTTTTTTCCGGGCTGCAGAATTTTGCCAAGGGACCCAAGCTAGGGTAGTCTAGATTTCCCCACCCCCACCCCTGTAGGTGTCTTTGTAATAACCATATCTACCTTCAAAAGCCTTCTCTTCCCATGACAGGCAGTGTTGACAATTGCTACAGAAATCTGCTCGGCAGGCAGCCACCCCCCACCGGGCAGCTCCAACCAAGTGCACAGGATGGTGTAGCCTGGGTCAGAGGCCAGCGCTGCGGTGCCGCAGGGTGTCGCCAGGCCGTGGTCTTCAACCCCCAAAACCCCCACGAGGGAGAAGACCCTGGAAGAAGCCTTGAAGAATAGTCTGCTTGTGTGGATCAGCTCCCCGCCCCCCAGGCAGACGGAGCTAATGCCTCCCTCCCCTATCCTATGACGAGTCACAGGATGAGTGACCCCGATCCCCGGACTAAACGTGAGGGGAAGGGTCCCTGCGGCCTAGTGGAACTAGCAAGTCCTCCAAACTGTGACCACATGGTGTCCCTGACCTGGAAACGCAGCTTTCCTTGGAGGCAAAGTGCACCCACAGAGGAGCCAATAGCATTCAGCTGTATTTTCCATTTCTATTTATTTATTATTTTGGGTGCTGGTTGGGGGGTGTGCTGGAAGCAGAGAACCTAGAAGACCAGGAACCCCAGGATGATGTTTACAAGCATGGTGGACACAAGTAAATAGGAAACCAGAGCAAACAGGTCTAATGAATTCCTTCTTCCGCAGCATGGAAACTTATTACAGTGCCCTGGAGCCCGGTGCCGCGCTATGCTCCCCAATTAGGGAAATAAATTTGTTAATAAAATTGCTGAGGTCACCAGTGATTACTGGTGCGCCTTAATATCCTTTCTGTTTGTTTATTCCGATCAGCGTGCTGCCCGGTACTTCCAAATTATGAGAAACTGGAGTGTACAGCAAAAGCAGCTCACCAGTTTCCCATAGTCCCTCAGGAAGCTCGGTAGCAATGGGCCTGAGAAAATACTTGCATGGGGATGGGGAGAGGGAGGGCGGAGAGCATAGCTTAGTTGGTAGCCTGCTTGCCCAGATTCCAAGTTAGGAGTTCCATCCCTGGGACCACACTGCACAGCTGGTGGTACACGCTTGTAGTCACAGCACTTGGGAGATGGAGGCAGGAGGATCCAGAGTTCGAAGTCATCTTTGGCTACAGAGTGAGTTTCAGGCCAACTTGGGCTATCTGAGACCCTGTCTCAGGTAACAATCAGAATCGAATGTGTCTACAAGCAAGCCTGGGAATGAAGGAGCCTAACATTTGAAACAAACCCCTAGAGCACAGAATGTAGCCACCGGTGGGATCTAATGATAAGTATGGTATTTCCAAAAATCCACTATGCCAGGAGGGAAGAAGGAAACTTTTATTTAGTTGGGCATAGTGCAGTGGTATATCCCAGCCCTGGGGAGGCAGAGGCGGGTGGATCTCTGTGAAGTCCTGTCAGCCTGGTCTACACAGTGAGTTCCAGGCCAGCCAAAGGCTACCTAGTGAGTCTATCTCGAAAAGGAAAGGACATGGATTTCAAAGTAGGTTAGCTTTCCAAATTACGCTTTGGCGGAGGGAATGATGTCATTAATTTGCATGCACCGTGCCTGCGGCAGGAAAATGGGATGACTCTATTTGCCAATGACAATTAGATCCCCGAAGGCTGCTTTCTCTGGTACGATCAGCTGAGTCCACCGCTGCCCAAGCAACTCTCCCCTCCACCCTGTCTCAGCTGGGGGACTGACCTGCTGCTTCCTGGGGTGCTACTACACAGTAACTCCCCTCTTTCAACTTCCTACCATGCCCTTCCTTCCTTTTCCCCCCTTCCTCCTCCTCCTCCTCCTCCTCCTCCTCCTCCTCCTCCTCCTCCTCCTCCGCATATGTTCAAGACCCAGACCAAGTTCCATACCCGAGGAAAAGTAGTTCACAGTAAAAGAAAGGAACAGAGCCGGGTTTGGTTTTAGAAACCCAGACAAGGACACGTGAGCCCACTGAGCATCCTGAGAACTTGATGAGGTCATAGGGCAGTTGAGATCCCACATAGAGACCTCAATTGTGTTTGGGAGTTGTGGGGCGGGTCAGGGCCCTCAGTTCAGATGTTATCAGGAATTGAAGAGGCAGAGAGGCATGGTCCTGGAGGCAGGCACTAAGACTTGCCTGAAGAAAGAGTGGGATCTAAAAGGTGGTGAACAGGATAGGTGTCCCATCCAGGTTGACTGGCAGGCATGTGATGGAGAAACAGAGCCAGGGGTACCAAGAGCACTGGGAAGCACAAGGGAACACCCGATACCTGATTATGAGCCCACCGCTAGCTCCCTCTCCCACACACACTAGTGGCTCTCCTCCCTCTGAGTTGAGAAACACACAGGTTTTAGTCAGAGTAGATTGTGACACACAATGCCAATCAGCAGAGTAACTTTCCAATCGGGGTGGCTCAGCGGAGATCCCCTGTGTGGTCATCCAGGACCCAGGTTCCTCCTAACCCGAGCTGCCATGCTCTTCCACATGCTGTCCAGACAGCTGCTGTTGACAGGTGCAAGTAAGGCTGCAGCCGGAAGGACACACGGACACGCCCACGCCCCACGGGCAAGAACTAGTCATGAGGCCCTGCCTAGATGCCAAGGAACTGACAGGAGGCGGGCAGGAAGAGGGTGATTCACGGGCTCTGCCCCTGACTTTTCCGTCCAGGCTTTCCAACTTGTGTTTTTCCTTTGTCCTTCCCCTCCCCCTCCTTTTCCTTCTCTTTCTCCTTTTTTTTTTTTTCCTGGTCTATGAATCCTGTTTTTTTCATTTCTTATTTATGTCCTTTCAGTGGTTCCTTGGGTCCGAGTAGCTTCTCTCCAAATTCATTGGTCGAAACACGATTCCCAGGGCGATGGTTCTTAAAGAGTGGAGCCTTTAAAGGGATGGCTGTCACAGGGGTGGGATGGGATGACTCAGTGGGTAAAGGGGCTTGCGGCAAAGTCTGGTGACCCGAGTTCAATCCCCAGTTTGATCTACATAAAACTGGAAGGAGAAAACAGATTCTCTAGAGTTGTCCTTTGACCTCCAGGTGCATCATGGTAGACTCCCACATCATACACACATGGTCACACAGGAAAGCTAGTGGCGTTCCTCGAGTCTTGGCATCTGGAGGGGAAAGGTAGGAAGAGCAGAAGTTTTAGGTCATCCTTGGCTACACGGTGAGCAGCCTGGGGTGGGGGCTTGCTCAGCCCCTCCTCCCTGTGAGGACACATTGCATCATTTATGAAGAACTGCCTTTCACCAGACAGAATCTGATAGCACTTTGATCTTGGACTTCCAGTCTCTAGAGTTATGAGCAGTAAATTTCTATCTACGAGAAAAAGATTATCCAAAGCAGAAGTGGGTTTGGTGAGAGCCATCTTTACAATAGCTTTTCCCTCCATCACCTTCGTATCAATAAGATGCCTGACGTGAGGAAGGAGATGCGGGAAGGCAACCAGGCGTGACAGAAGGCAGGGCCTGCAGTACCTCCACGGCAGGTTCTGACCCTTCCTCTGGGAGGCCCTTCCTCTGTCTGAGTCCTCAGAGACTGGGAGCCATGTTGAGGGCCACCCACTTCTGTAAGACCCCCAACATGGTCCCAAAGACAGGGGACACAGAAGGACATTGTAGGAACATCTCCTGGGGGCCACCAACACCTACCCCTCCTTGTAAGGTCCTGACAACAAACCAAGTCAAGATTCCACCAGAGTTCACCCTAGGGCTCGTAGGAATTTATTTGGCTTATTTAATTGACGTTGAGGAATTATACTCCGGAGTGTGGGTGACCCCCAAGCAGCCACACTGGAAAGTGTTAATCCAACACAGATGACCGCATTTCCCCCCAGTTAATTTTCCCTAGCCCATATACTCTCTAGCCTCCTGAGACCCTGAGGCAGTACGTGATTAGGGAAGAATTATTTGCAAATGGCTGATGGGAGGACGCCTTGGAAGCCTAGGCGAGGTCTCCATGCTACGCCAGATGATCTCCTGTAAGCAGGCATGGCTGCTTAATGCGGAGGATCAAAGTTTGCCAGAAAGAGCAAACCTAGGTCACCCCAACTCACGGATTAACCTGCCTCTGACCCGGCTTCTCCCCCTTCCTCTCCAGCTTTGCTGACAAGGGAGCAGGGCAGTCTCAGAGACAGCCGTCCCCCAACTCTGTCCCTCCGGTGTCCCCTGGGTGATTAAAGAGGAGGCTGAGGAGTGGAACGTTATTACAGCTTTTTCATAATGCAGTGTCATGAGCAAGCTCTGAGCCTCTGGGCAGTGTGCTGGCAGCCTCATCGCTCTCCCCGGCTGCCGAGGCTCCCGGGCTACTCAGGGAAGGGCAGGCTGCGGTCTAATGAAAGGAATGTCCGGGCGAGACAGATCATCATCCGCTCTCCAGAATGATCTAAACCTCTTACTTTTTGATTTAAATCTGCGTCCTTGGTGGCCAGAAACATAAAGCAGAAGATGAGAGAGAGAGAGAGAGAGAGAGAGAGAGAGAGAGAGAGAGAGAGAG